AGGCAAGACAGGTTGCAAGCTCGAAAAGTTGCGAACTCTAGTTGCCGTGTGTGTCTTCGACATGTTGCAACGTATATTTGCAGTTTTCGACGATGGTAACGATGGGTGGTTGAATAATAGAGCGAGTGAACATATTAGAAACGGCACGACTCCCGTGAATAATTGAAAAACGAACGTGAAAGTTTCTTCAATTACGAAGCTAGTTGGTGCTTTCAGACGAGAGGAAGTTTGTTTCAAGTGCGCGCCTTTCATGTTTTTGTTTTAGATGTTTTATCGATCGAGAATGATATTGTTCGAAACGTGCAATATTTTGATTTATATTTTTAATAAATTTTATACAGCTATAATAGTTTGTATTAATCGATATTGAGTTTTACTATCTATTTATTTTTTAAATAGTTATTTTCAAAATTATTCATCGTTCCGTAAAATGTGTTAATTTATTACGTTTCGAAATGGATATAATTGAAACGACTTTTGCTATGAGGATGTAGAATATTTTTTTTAATATATATATATATATATATATATATATGAGACTCACCGGTATGAATATAAGTGTGTTTCTTCATATCTGACTTCTGATGAAACCTCTTGCCGCAATATTGACAGGGATATGGTCTGGTGTCGGAGTGTATTAAAAGGTGAGTGCTGAGAGTGCTTGAACGCTTGAAGGCTTTTCCGCACTGTTTACACTGTAACAGAACGAAAGAATATGGTTATAATATTGAAATATATCGAACAATTGTAAGGCTGATGAAACTTTAATCAATTTAATTAATTTATTTTGAATATTGGATAAATAATGGATAAAGAATAGATTATCTTTTGATTATATAGTAGAATAAAATGTTGGAATTTTAAATTTGTCACAATTGTTGGCAAAATTAAAATGCAAAAAGAGATATAAAAATGTGAAAATAAATGTCATCATTTTGAAAGTCGTTCGAAATCGTATCAACTATGACAAAGAAAATTTTTATCTGTTCGGAATAATGAAAATAAATTATTAAAATATATAATTACAATGACAAATAAGTTTTTCGCGATAATCCCAATTTTAAAATTCAATAATTTTTTTCAAACACACAACTCATTTCCTCAATTCTAAAATAATTTTATCTAAAAAATTGTCCGATGAGATGGGTTATGAAACATAAGACATCTTCATTTTAATATAACAAGTTATATTCCCAACAATCTTCATAATAATTTTAAACTCATATAAAAGAAAATGTTACATATCTTTTATCATTTAAAATAATTATTCATACAATAAATTAATTCTTCTAATTAAGTTATTTTCATTCCTTTCTTTCCCCCTTCTCATCCGTATCTTCATTCATTCTTTCTCCTTTCCTTTTTTTTTCAAGAAAAAAAAATAATCAATTATTGCATTGTACATAAATTAATCGTCCATCTTAGGGAAATCGAAATCGGTATGTCGAAGAAGGAAGAAGGCGGACGACACCGCGACGTGAGGCGCACCTGTGTTCACGGAGCCTTGGGTTTTTCTCCTCGGGGCTTATTGTCACACGGGCGCCAGTCCTGACAATACTGTCGAGGCGTGTCTCTTTTCACGATACACGCGTAGGTACATGCGTGGAATCGCGTACGAAACCGCTTTAGCGGGATATTATTACGAGCGTGCACCGGTACCGGTATAAGCGAGCTGCGACTACGCATGATTCACATCCCTCGTCGATCAATAATGAGGATATTGCAACGATATTAACCCATCGCGATGGATTCGAACATCCTTTGGATGAACCGTTACGTCTATATGGGATTATTATTCGAAAAAACATTTGATTCGCACGAAAGACTTGTTTTCATCGAAGATGAATTTTGTTCAATGTATGTGGACGTTTTGTATATTAAGATTTAATTCAATTTTAAATAAAAAGTCAAATTCATAGTTTCGAGCTTGAAGCTAATCGTTCTCCATTTTTTTTCTCGATCATAAAAATCGCATATTATTGATGATACTGAATATGGAAATATCAATGTTTTTTTTTTAAATTAGGTCGAAAAGTAAATCGAATATTTGCTGAATAAAAAAAAGAAAATTTTATCAAAAGTGAGCAAATAAAATTACCAAATAATTAGAAAATATAAAATTCACATATCTTTAATGATCATATCTCTTGAACAAATTATACAAGAAACAGATATTATCTTAGTAGATTCATTATGATTAAGTTAGATAAAAATTCATCTTTTTTTTTTTTCATATTTTAAATGAAAAAAAAAAAGGAAAGGAAAAAATTTTGTATTACCACAAATGTTGATCGCGCGCCAGAAAGAAAATGAGATCGAAGAAGACACGGGGTGTTTTTTGCAACGATCGATGCTTCTTCGGGGAAACCTCGAAACGGACGATTTATAATCTCTTTAGAAGCCAATACACGTTCTACGGTCTCCCAGAGGGACACGCGAACGAGTTTCGGTGAACTTCTTCGGTATCGTCCAAATGCAGCAAGCGGTGCAATCGTAAGCTGCATTCTGGATGACTTTGGTACTTGAAGAGTTTCGAGATCTCCGAGAAGCATTCAGTTCCATGAAAACTTATTTAATCCATTAGTAAATTACGTAAAATAACGCAAAATTTCTTGATTTCTTTGTCTAAAATCTTTGTCAAAAATCTCATGCTTTCTATCTTTGCTATACTACTTTTTTTGCATTGATTCGTTAAATACATTAAATATTACGAAATATGTGTTATTTCATATGTGTTATGAAAAAATTAAATGTTTTTAGTATAATGTTAAATAATAGTTTTCAATGATATTATTTAATAATTAGTGTTTAACGATTATTTAAAATAGTTTATGATGTGAATATATATTCATTGAAATTATCACGATACCTATTTCTTGATATTAGAATAGCTCTTATATACCTTCAAAGAATTTTTTTCAAAGATAAAAGAACACGCGATGTGTCCACTAATCATCTTCAATAAAAAGATGGATCACGATATTTCTTCTCTTATACTAATTTGGAAAAAATATATATATATATACATATACAATTTCTAAATATTAGAAAATATTCAATAATCAAATAGAAAGATTTAAACGAATCTTTTTAATTTTTAAAAAAGATTTAATTAGTTTCATATTTGATAAACATTTAATGGTATATTTTAACGTAACAATATTTCTTGCAATACAAGATTTTATTTAAAAAAGAAAAATGAAAGTTTGGCGTTTCAGAAGTTTAGGGATTTTTTTTGTTCGTCTTTAATTCATTTCAATTTTAAATAGTGAATAAGATGTAATTAATAATAATGCCATGTTATCGCATATAAAATTTGATATCGTACAATTTTTCTGTGCTCGTATCGAATTAAGCAATTAAGATATAACTTTTAATGTTCGAAAGAAAAATTAAAGAACTGTTATTATGATTGTTGCTCTACAATTTCGAACGATATCTTGAACAATATAATATGGAATCTGCGTTCTGCGTACATAACGGTATAACACTGTCGAATGACTGGAGTCGAAATATCACGGGATATTTGTAAGCGAGGCATTAAAATCCAGGTCAAAATGAGAAAAATAATTAACCATCCGTTCAATATCCACCTTTTAAAACAGATCGTAATTATCCTGTTTGTTTCGTTAAAACTTTATTTCTATATTACGTCGAAATAAAAATTTATAATAAAATTATTAGAAATTATTGAATACCATTAAATTTAAAAATTGCCTGAATAAAATTAATATATAGATCTTTATACTTTATTAATTAAAAAATTAATGAAAAATATAGTCATATTATTCGAAAAAATAACTCAATCGTGCAAACTCAACATTCGAAACACAGTGATAAAACTTGACCTGCATCTTACACTTCCGTTTCTTGCACTCAAAGAAACGGAAATACGATAAACGCATATATACGCATACCCCTTTCGTACCCTTTGTACTCTAACACCTCGTCTCGTATTTTCTTTCGATTTGGGGAATTTCGAAAGGGGGATGGCTAAATCGAGGTACCAACCTCGAGTGCGGTTTCCGTATTGCGAAACCCCCTTCGAATTTCCGATCGAAAGGAGGAACGAGAAGAAAACGATATGCGGTTTGGGAAAAATTTTTGGACGGTGAGCCCGATTCGAAGGGGGTCGGTCTTTTTTCGGCCGGAATCAGGATCGTGTGACGCGCGTGTGCCCCAGATATCCTAATATGTACGCCGGTTGTTACGTGTCGCGCGTAAAACAGCGGCCAACCGAGTTTCTACTTCCATTCAATCAGCCGTAATTGCCCCCGCCGCCTTTTGTCGAGTTCCGACATTCGTCAAACGTTTGACCCGCTTCTTCGCCACGTCACGGTTGCACTTTGGAGAGAACTTTTGCGCCACGGCCTGCCGATCGCGTGACTACGCGTGGATTTCACTTCTCGCGTATGCAAATACCGGGAATCGAAGGGAGAGGAGACCGGGGATTTGCGGACAGGCAGGATGGAGAGAGTTGGGGG